ATATCTGTTGAAGTTTGTTTTGTTACCAAGTATGTGGTCAATTTTTGAGAAGGTTCCATGAGGTGCTGAGAAGAAGGTATATTCTTTTCTGTTTAGATGGAATGTTCTATAGATATCTAATTAGTCCATTTGAGTCATAAAATCTGTTAATTCACTTATTTTCTTTCATTTTTTGTAATTTCACCTATTTTCTTTTAATTTTTTGTTTGACAGTCTGATCTAGTAGTAAGATTAGAGTGCTGAAGTATCCCACTATTAGTGTGTGTGGTTTAATATGTGATTTAAGATTTAGAAGTGTTTCTTTTACGTATGAGGATGCCTTTGTATTTGTGGCATAGATGTTCTGTATTGAGATTTCCTCTTGATGGATTTTCTTTGTTACCTTTGATTGATTTTAGTTTGGAGTCTATTTTGTTAGATATTAGGATAGCTACACCAGCTTGTTTCTTCGGTCCATTTGATTGGGATTTTTTTTTCCCAACCCTATACTCTGAGGTGATGTCTGACTTTGAGGTTAATTTGTGTTTTTTGTATGTATCAGAAGGATGGATTCTGTTTCATATCCAATCCATCAGCCTGTGTCTTTTTTTAGGTGAATCAAGTCTGTTTATATTGGGAAATATTAATAATCAGTGATTTTTATCTCCTGTTAACTTAGTTTTTATTATTGATGATGTTAATTTGTGCGTTTCCCCCTTCTTTGGGATTTTCTTCTGTAAGATCATCAATTGTCTGTTGTTTTGCTGATGTAGCCAACTTCCTTAGGTTGGAATTTTCCTTCTAGTACTTTGTGAAGGGCTGGGTTTGTGGTTAGGTATTGGTTAAATCTATTTCTGACATAGAATATCATTTCTATTAATCTGTGTATCGCCATGTGGTTGTAACCTACTGGTACAGTTCCATACAGCATCCAGCATCTGTCTCCTGCAGTAGCTACATGATGTCTCTTTGACGCCACCTACTGCTTGGAATTCCTTCCTTGACCTATTCTGTTGTGTAATAGGCCCAAAGCAGATTTTTTTTTTAATTAATCAATGGTCTTCACAGCATACAGAGGGGAATTCCTCTAACCCCTCCCCACTTCTATCTAAATAAAAAGGAAGGTTTTAACATAGCAATATTACATACAAAAACAGTTATCAACCAATAATTAAAGTTACAATATTTATATCTTCTTTATCTTTTATCATAACTAAGGAAAACTATAATTACGACTATTCTTCAACTCCATAAAAAATTCCAAAATATTGCCTAAGTAAACAGGAAGTGCATTGTAAGCATCTTCCAAAACTCTAGAATTGACAGAGACATCTTGCTGCCTGGAAGTCACCCAAAGTTCTTCTGTATAGTTGCAGAATCCATTTATGACCTTAGTATCTGGCAGACTTTTCCAAGAAGTAGGAAATTTGAATATCTCTTATGCCTTGTACTGGCAAAGTTAATCAATTGCTTTTTTGTGTCCTGCAAAATGTCTGGCAGTTCTCTCATGAAACAGGAACCCTGAAAGGCTATCTCACCTTCTAACTAACATGATTACAAGCTTGACTGTTATAGATGACTGTTTATTAACCAGTATTTCTTAAATGAGCTTCACAAACACAAAACCTTAATCAAAAGCAGAAATATATATAGAAAAATGGACCTTAAATTTGTATCAATAAACTAAGATCCATACCAATGCAAAGTATTCATCTCTATAACATATCCTTCTTTAAATGTAAACAAACATTTATAAACAATCATTTAGGAAATTTGGGCATAGTCCTCTCCAAACTGCTTCCTGCTTTTTGTTGGGTGAAGTAATTTTGGTGGTGATGGAAACCTTTCAGGGGACCATAGTCCATCAAACCACATTAGTCTGGAAGGAATCCATAGGTTCTCATTTTCTGTGGAAACAAAAACAGAGCCTCTTCTCCAAAGCAACATATCCTTTGATCCAAATTTTGAAGTCAAGATATTATATATATACATATATATGTACATGTATATATAAGTTGGCTTAGTTTAGCAGCACATACAATGAAATGTCTTTCTGTACTTAGCTCATTCATAGTCAAAAAACGTAAAGAAAACACAATAACATACATCATCCAGACTCTTTATGTATAGTCCATCTTTATGTGGCTTATTTTTCTTTACTTCTATAATCTATGACTGTCTGTACTCTGTCTCTTTAAAGACTTTATTTTTTATAACCATTTCTTTTCTTTATAAAGGTCTATATTCTTTGTCTTCTCTCTACTAAGTCTATGTACATTTATTCAACACTATAACTCATTTAGAGATCTTTTTGGTCTGGATTTGTCATTATTGTGTACGCATCTGTAATTATTTTTTAACTAGGAGTGCTTTTTTTTCTTTTAAATGCTAAGTGGGCACGGCTAGGGCCAACTCCACAGTACTCCCTGTTGGCTCTGCCCAGTCCAATATGGAGGAGGCATGTTCACTGCCTCTGAGATCCATGCACATTGCCCCAACTCCAGGGTCGCAGTGGGTCTGTGTCACCATTAAGCAATTTGTAGTATATTGCTAACAGACCCCATTTAAGTGCTTGACCTCCTGAAAGGGCCAGAGCTGTTCATGCAACTAGCATGTACCAGAAAGCAGCCAGTTTGGAAACCATACTTTTTTTTTTTTTTTGGCTGCTACCACTGAATCAGAGAGACCTCTGTTAAATAAGGTGTGGCATCCCTGTTCACCAACAGCAAACAGAGTCTATCTGAAAACAAAAATGCGGTTACCAAGAAACTGTACTAAACTCTGTTCTTTTGCGTCTAGAATTCATTTTTAACCTCTCTCATGTTGGGCCAAAATTATCTCAGGGCCTGTACCTTGAGGTCTATAGGACAGAAAAATAGCCTGGCTTGAGTTCAGGACTTATACTTCGAAGTCTGTAGGACACAGAAAAGCCTGGCTCGAGTTTGAGTGAGGATAAGACAGCAAAAATTAGATAGACACCCCTCCAGCCAGGGGGAGGGTTTGGCTGCCTCTTATTGGCTGAAGGTACCCCCCACATCACAGGATGTTATGTAACCTTTATAAGCAGATGCTCATAGTAATAAACTGAGTTCCTGTTTTGACTCGTCTCCGTATCACATCTGATTGTCCTGCATTGTGAGGCTGCAGAATGGGCGGATAGTGCACTCACCATTCCCTGGGGAATAAGGAAGCTCGGGAAGCCTAGCACTCTCAGATTTTATATGGATGTACCTAGCCCATGTTGGTACACCAATTTGTTGGTAGAGACTGCTCATTCATTTTCCGACTGTCTAGTCCTGAAATAACCACACAGAAACTGTATTATTTAAAGCATTGTTTGGCCTGTTAACTTATGAATATTTCTAGCTAGCTCTTATATCTTAAATTAACTAATTTCCATTAACCTGTGTATCATCATGTGGTTGTAGCCTACCATAAAGTTCTGTCCGGTGTCCAGCATCTATCTTCAGCAGCAGCTACATGGCATATCTTTGACTCCACCCACTCTGTCCTCCTCTATCTGCTTGGAATTCCTGCCTTGCCCTATTCTGTGCTACAATAGGCCCAAAGCAGCTTCTTTATTAACCAATGGTATTCACAGCACACAGAAGGGAATCCCATACCAGTATAGTAGGTGTTTTAGTATATTTTCTAAACTACCCTGTATAATTTCAAACATGTGACTATACTTATACTTTCTATCAACCTTACACAAGAAAAGCCCATTTGAATTATCTAAAGTGTGCTTTCTTAAATGTAGTGTACATTTTCTCTGTCTGTCGATCCCCTCCCCACCCCAAAAAATTACTGATGTCATTTAGTATGATTTTTCATGCTAGATTATGTGGGTTTTGTAATTTGGAAGTCCATCAGACTTAAAAATTCTTTTTTGAGAACTTGATTCATAAGTCCTAGTCTACATCGATTTCCACAGCCTTCCCCAAATAATGATATCCTCTTTTGTAATTATTGTTACATATATACATATACATATGTATATAAATACATCATGCATACATAACCTACTTAGTCTATTTAGCATTGCTTGTATATACTTGTGTCCAGAACTGAATACTTGGGATTGCACAACCTCTGTGGGAATTTTTCCTTGAAGGAATGATCTCAGTAACCATTGATTGCTTGTAAATTGGGCCAACATAGGGACACATCAGATAACTGTAGCAGTTTCTATCTATTGAAAATGAAACTTCTGTGAATTATGATAAGGATAAACACTTATGCCATATTTAGAAATTAATTTAAAAACTACTTGAGATTTGTATTTTGGAGATAATTATAAATTGATATTTTCATTGCCTCTAATACAGAAGGCTCTCACTTGCTGTCTCAGCTTTCCCACAGATAGAAGGGGCTCTGTTTTTTCTGCATCACAGATCTCAACCTATTGCCCTAAATTCTCTCCTTCCTGTCAATCCCCACTTAGTGCATGTCCATCTTCCTTAGGAAATTGAGGAGCCATCATTCTCATGGAACTGCCTGCGGCATTGTGAACGCAGATGAGCTGCAAATATAAGCTGTATATAAGGTTTACCAAGATTGTGAATATCTCATTCACGAATTTAAAACATTTTACACCCGTGAGCTGTTTTGAATGCTTGGGATTTAATAAAACATACTATAACTATTTTTAGAAGAAAAGAAATTGATTTTAAAAATGAAGTTACTAAGATTTATATGTGCACTGTGAGGAACTGTTCACACATAGATGTAAATTGCCCCCATTTAGAAATATTTTTTAAATGATCTCAGTTCCTGCTTTTTCCTCTTTAGAATGAAGACTTTAGGTGCCTGGTGAAAAGAAGAGACTATTTGTAAACTGCAAATTAGATGAAGTACATCTGATAGATTGTTTGGGGGACAGAGAATAAAGTGTCTTTCAGGCTTACAGAGGTCACAGTGATGATTCCTCTCGAGGTCGCTCACATGCCCTTCTGGTTTTATTTCAAAGTTCTAGGTCTGTCTGAGGATTGCATATTAACTTCTAACTCCCTTTGTTCTAGGATCCCCCTGTGACCCCAGCTACCTTCTGGCCTGTGTTCCCTGCAATGTGATCTCTGCTGTCATTTTCCAGCGTCGTTTTGACTACAACGATGAGATATTCCAAGAGTTCATGGAACATTTTTATAGAACTCTTAAAATTTTAGCCTCGCCTTGGGTTCAGGTGAGATCCAGTTGTATTTATATGTGAAAATGTTATGTGACCCAAATCTAAACCACCATCTAAAAGCTAACACTCCAGTTATTAGCTTTGTGTGTCTGTTATCAGGTTTATTGGAGAACTGTTATTCTGAGGAGATGTGGGTAGTTTTCAACTTCAAAAAGAGGCCATATGTGTGAATTTGGGAAAATTAAAGGACTTTTACAGGTGTAGAGTGCAATAAGAAGACAGCTCTGACTTTAGGACTCTGTTTTCTTGTTGTATTGATTTCTTGGAGAATCTTTTCTTCTCTTCATTGAGTCTTTTCTTCCATTCCTCCCCCTTTCTTTCTTTCTTTCTTTCTTTCTTTTTTTCTTTCTTTCTTTCTTTCTTTCCTTCATTCCTTCCTTTTTTCCTTCCTTCCTTCCTTCCTTCCTTCCTTCCTTCCTTCCTTCCTTCCTT